GATAGTGCAGCTTGACGTCACTTTATATTTATGATGTTTAAGTGCGTGCTCGTTGTATATCGCGAGGGACTTAGCGGGAGTCAGCCCTGCTTCTTTAAACTTCGTTAACCTCGTTTGTGATATCGTCTAACGTCTAATTAGCAGCGAGTGTTTATTAATAGGTTCTTAAATTTCGTCGGCATCGTTCGCTAACAGCGTTAACGACTCCGATGCGTTACGTTTTTTAACAAAGTTAATAGTCAATAAAATCGCGACGATATTTTGCTCTTTGTCGGAGTGAGTATTTTTTTTCTTATTTCTGCGTTTTTTATTTTTATATGCATTAAAGACGCGCGATATCATAGGGAGAAACTTTTTGTTGCATTCTCTCACGGAATGTTGCCTCGGTAGTGAAGCCGTTAAAAAAGTTTGGTCCACAACTACACTTTTCTACTCAGAAGCGGATCGGAAAAGTTCGATACCACATAAAAGTCATTGTATTGAGTTAAATATCGCATTGAGTTGTAGCGGCCATCAGGACTCATCATTGAAGACCGCGCCCCATTCGCGTCGCGCTTGCAAACTCCGGTCGGCAATAATCGGAATAAAAAAGTTTCATCAAATAAATCGATAATTAAATCACGTAAAACATCAGGTTTTCGCGGGTGCGCGAGCAAAAGTCACTTCTAATATCTGGGAGAGAGAGAGAGAGAGAGAGAGAGAGAGAGAGAGAGAGAATGGTTATTTTTTTATCAGAAATAAAAAAAGCACATTATACAGATAGAACGGAAAATGCAGAATTAACGAGATTTTTCGTTTGTGCGCGCGGTTTACTTTTTGCAACAATACTTTAGTTAGTATAGCAAGACATCTCCATTCGGCAGACGTCTCGCGTCTCGAACACGTTTCGAAGTGCTTACGGCGCTTCCGAATCCCACGAGGTGTGTCGCGATGCGTCGTGAATCCAACATTGCCCCGCCGCATCGACCGCGAAATTGCCGGCTTCGACTACTTCGCTCGACCCGTCGTCGTCGTCGGCGTCGTCGTCGTCGTCGTCGTTCGACGGCGCGGCCGCGAAAACCGGTCGGGTGGCAGAGATATCTCTTACCGCGCTCACCTGCGGGAATTGCGGCCGACTCTACGGAATCGGCGGTGTCGCGGAAAAGGAGGGTTGTTATAAGCGGTTTCTCACACACATATACACAGACACATTACAAATATATATATATATTATATATATGTGGGTCTGTGTGTGTGTATATATATATATACACATGCACACATACCACGCCCGGTCTGGTCGCGAACTGGGGCGGTGCCACCGTCATGGAATCGATATCCGTTCACTCTTACCGGATTTTATTCACCGGTAAAAAAGAGAAAAGAGAGAGAGAGAGAGAGAAAGAGAAAGAGAAAGAAAAGAGATGTCAGACTATTACGAAAAAATAAAATTACGTACGATAGGCCGGAAACAAAATCATCGAATAACGAATAAATTGCCCCTACGATTGATACGTTCCATTTCACAGACGGTTACCGGAATTGATCTTGTTCTAATTCAATATTTTCAAACGTTCCGTAAAACGAGCGATAAAAAAAAAGAAAAAAATGAGTGGTCCCGCGCATAATTTGTTCTCTCATTTCTTTTAATATCGATAACGAGAACCACACGCACTAAAAAAAGGTTACACAAAAACGAAGGGACAAAAAAAAATAATAAAGATTTAATTTTATCGTTCGATTCGCATCTTATACGGACGATCACGCGTTTTTTCTGATTTTACGCAGTAAGTAAGTACGTCATAAAAGAGCGGTCTACCGAAAATGTAAAAATTAAATTTCCCATTTTTTTCTGCCATTAAATGGCGTCATTAACCTTCCGTCAGTGCTATTAAATGTCGCGTAATGTCTCCTCGAATCTAATTTGCAATATCGCGCGAACACTGATCTAATCTGAAACTTCTAAGGCTCTTGGTAAAATTGACAAAAAAAAAAAAAATAAAATGTAGCTTTTAAACTTCCATCTTGATGTGTGCAAAATTGCTTTTTAAACGCTCGCGCGCCGAGCTATATAGTTTTGGCAAGCTGCATTAACGCGTCTTCATTGTTTTTCGAGCTCGACACGCGATACACGTTTACAACGCGCGATTCATTATTGAAACGCGCGAAGAGCGAGCCGATAAGAAAAAGCTTAAGCTTTCGTCTTCGTTTAAGCCGATTTGGACACATATTTCGTATTAATTCCCGCGCGCGGAAACATTGGCGGCTCTACGCGCGTCATTTTTACATAATTGAGACCTCTCTTATTATGAATTCACGTCTAGGCAGATCCCTTTATCCGCGCATCGTCCAGGAAAAGATAGGCTTACACGTGTGACAAGGCTACCAAGATAGGTGCATCGCACCCGGCGTGTAATGATAAAAAGCCGCGCCTTGTAGCGCGGCAAAAAGGGCTTCTCTTGCCAGCAAAACAAACACGATGTCGGCAATAAAACGCAAAGCAACCTTTACGGTATAAATAGGGCGAAAGAGAGCATATGTATATATATATATATATATATAAAACAGCTTCTTCTCCTCGTTCACTGACGATGACACGACTCTGTCGTCGCATATTAGTACAGGGAAAACAGAGAAAAAAAAATAAAAACTGAGAGAAATCTTTTTTTTTTCTTCCCTCTATCGTCACCCGAACGGAAAGAAGAAACTCCAATGATATAGATATTGCGAGAGGTTAATATGCGAGAGGAAAATTAGTGGGAAATATCGCGTTGGCGGCGCTATTATCTTTGGTTCTCTGCTTTTTTTCTACCTCAATATAATCGATATATTGGATTTCTTTTATCGCCACTAATATCATCAACATCAGAACGTCGCAAGAGTGTCATTCTCGCTTAGAAACGCCCGTCGGACATCGACATCATCGAATAAATCCAAAATCAATTTCTTCTCGGTGAGGCCGACGACGCGACCCGTCGTACAATATCTCTCCGGTGTCTCACACGGGCAGAACAGTCTCGTCATTCTTATATCGTTACCGGTTGCTGTTCTCGAGGTCTCCCTCGAATGGTCGACATAATTTTTCACGCTTTATCCGGGAGCAACACCGTGATATCGCATTGAAACAAGGGTTGCGGCGAATGAGAAAGCTCAAAGAAACGAAATGACTATTAAATTAGAAGTTGTTGATAGTGTGCGTTATTTAATTAACAGAGAAGTTCTCCCGTTTTTCAAGTAACTGTAAATGTTTTCAATTGCAAGTACAATTTAGTATTGTAAAATGAGACAAAGATAAAAAATATATTTTTAGACATTTACGTCAATAAGTTTTTCTAAATAAAAAAAAAAGCTCTTTCTAATTTTCGATTTTTCTCGATAAAAGTACATTTGTTTTTCAGATTTTACCAAAAACTTTGAGATGTTTTAAAAAAAAAAATAAAATTCGGGGCTGTGCATAGAGTGTGTGTGTGTTACGTTACTCGCGCGGAATATAATTTCTTATCTCTCGCGATGCATGCGGAAAGTAGGTTTCGGTAAAATTATCATTTCTTCCGCGAAGATATAAAGTATTTATGGCACGTAGAAGCAAATACACAACATAAGTGCTATCTCTCAAGAGTGCTCTCCTCCCCGCTAGTTTCCATCACTCAACCCTGCCACTCCTACCGGTTCTTGATGTACCATCCCATTTCGTGTCATATCTTACCCAATTCACGTCGGCCTTGCGCGATTAACCCTCTATCAACATCTTTTTGTATACTTTTTATAAAACCGCCGGCGGTATATGAAAAATGAGTGTCTCTCCTAAAAACGAAAGTTATAGATAAAACAAGCCGAATAAAGTAAACATTACACGTCGTATAATAGCCTTTTGAATAGTATATTATGCGCTTCGTTTTTTGTACGTTTACGTTTTAAACAATACGCGGGGTATAAATTGGGTAGATCGCGTCAATCTAAAACCGCATTTTGGTTTCATATTTTATCTCCAATTTGTATTATATATCCGAAAATTCGATCGCGTATGCGAATATTTTGTAGCGCTTTGCACGTAATACGTCACAAAAAGATCTATTAATAACCGATGAAAATTTGGACGGAATATATTGCGATGAAAAACGTGTGTGTGGATAAATTAGGGAAATCGGAATAATAATAATAAAAAATAATAATAATAATAATAATAATACGATTGCGACAATATGCGCACCGCGTATTTTCACTCTCCGATACAAATTAAATTCGCTTGTAGTCGCAATTATGTATGTAACTCCGCATTTGCACTCCCCTAGTGCAAACGCGGAGTTACATACGGCTTGATGCCAATAACACAATTCTATCATCTCTAATGAATATTTATGCAACACATACATGTATCTTTTATTAATCACATAGAATGACTAGTTATTTCTCTCTCTCTGCTAATGTTATATAACCTTTCTCTCTGACAAAATTGTGTTTTGCTTTTTACGTACTCTTTTCTTTCACCGATAAAAAAAAAAAAAAATTCGCGCGCTCATCCTCTGTTCACTTTCGGTCGGAATCAGTATTTTTTTCGTCATTGTTCAGTTTTCTAAATTAATTCCAAAGATTACACTTTTTTTCGTCGCTTCCTCGTACGCAAGCTCTGACATTATTTTTGTTTATCTGAAATTTATTTCGCTTCTCCGCGAAATAAATTTCGGAAAGCGGTATTGTTGCAAACCTTCGCGATGGAAATGAAATTTCCGCGTGTCAGCACAAAAGTCTGAAAAACGTCATACTTTATGACGTCTTTCAGCACAAAAATCTGAAAGACGTCTTAAAGATATCCAAAAGACGGTTAAAAGAATAATTTCAAAGGTCTTCGGGACAGGTCTTGAAGATATCTTACATACATTAAGAGTAAATTATATTCTACACGTATTATATATATATATATATATTTTAGATTATTGTCAACAGAAAGAAACAGAAAGAAAAACATGTATTTCAGAAGTACGATGCTTGTGGACAAAAATAAACTACACATTTCTTTTTGTTCTAAAAACAGGCGACATTCTTCGTTCTCTATCGGTTTTCGGAGATATTCTTTCGCTTTATGTCGCATGTTATTCAATTTGAAATACAATTCTATCCAATTAGTTAAATTATACAATATGCAAGAGGATGACGTTGTAACGAGGAGAATTACAATAGCTTATTATGGGAAATATTAACCGCACTTGCTTTGCATACGCTGTTTCTTCGAAGCGTTCCAGTTCTCTTATTCACGAGTCAGGCGACTGTTCGTTTAATGATACACTCGCAAATCGGCTTGTGTTTAATCTAGATTGTCATGCTCAAGTTAATGCTATGATCAACAATTCTCAATTAATAACGACGACATTAATTACACTTTTATATTATAACTTCAACATTATTATACGCATGTTGCTTTGCTATTTTATGCAATAATTATGTAACAACAATCACAATCACCGAATAATTAACGAGAGACGAAGCAAACTTTATATATTAATGATCAACAATGCGCATTCCTAGTAGCGCGGCTATTCAAATTTGTGCGCTCTCCTCGCGCAACGCCCTCGGCGGTCGTTTATACGAGCGAATTATCGGCACCGTAAGCGTCATGCTGCACATTAGCGCGCGCCCGTCGACAAAATCAGGTTACCGTTTGCATGCATCGCGCTACTTCATGTAGTATCTCGGCCAATCCGTGGACGGCTCGTCTTCCGTGCTCAAAGTTCCGTCATAGTCGGTGGAATCCTCCGAGGGATCGGACGGGGGTGCGTTGTATTTCCCGAGAGCCAAGTCGATGAGGGAGAAACTACATCCGGGAAACATGGTTGCGCAGTCCTTGCCCTCATGGCCGGCTTTATGCGCCTCGGTGTACGTGTGATGTTCCCGCGGCTCGAAGGAAAACACTTTCTTTAGGGGTAGTCTGTAATAAAAAATGAAGAGGGTTGTTTTCACAGATCGCAAATAGCACGCCAGATTGCCTGTGTGACAAAAATGGAATTAACGACATCAAGAAGAATATCCTTAAGGGGACACTTTTCTGTATCGTTTCGCTCGGGGGATGTTATATCTGAAATGTTATTCTGCAAAAGTAGAGAAAAACGATATCTTTTAGGAGCCAACCCTCCGCACAAAAAAAAAGTTTCTAACGTTCTGTGAATTGCGCAATTTTGCCTGTCGAGATGATGAGAGAACTCGTAGTGGCTGCGGCGTATAATCGACGAGGTGCCTCCCGAAATTGCTGAATAGCAAAGAGCTATTTTAAGCCGTATGTAATTCACGTTTTTTTTTTGTCTGTAATTTCGTCCGCGTTGTGAAAAAATTATTTTATTCTTTGAAAAGAATAAAATGAAAAGAACTCTACCGTTGCTATTTTTATTTAAATTAAACCTATATGATATCGCAATGCCAACCCTCGTGTATAGTGTTAGGAAAAATGGATCAAAAGATATATATATATATACATATAAATTACACTTGAACAAAAATGTCGAGAGACACCACTTTTGCGCTATAAAGTGTAAACTGTTGAAAGCGAAGAGCTTTTTACACAAGCAAAAAAAAAAGGCAAAAGAGCTTACGAAATAACAAAAGCCCTGTATTGATCAATAGATGTCAAGTGGAAAATAACAGAATTTCGATCTTCATATGTAGCGTGGAAAAAAAAAAAACAAAATATCTTACGAGAATGATATCCTCATCATTTCTTCCACCAACGTGTTTCCTTTTGGCATTAGCCGTTGCGACGCCTCGCACAGCGCGCGTAGAACACACATTCTGCCGTCGAAACCCATCCTGGACAAATAAAAAAAACCAGCTTAATATAAAATTTAAGAAACAACACAAATATTTTACACAAAGAAATATAAGTAATGTTTGTTTTTGCTTATTTTACGATATTATATTTTTTTGCGGCAACCGCAAATTCTCAGACAGACTGCTTGTTAGTTTTAAGGCCACAAGAGAGAGAGAGAGAGAGTGAGAAATCTGAAAACTTTCTCGATTCGTCTCGATTTATTCCCGTCAAAAGATTAAGGATATCTTTGAGAAGTTACTCACGACGAGAGTAGCCTCAAAAATCCGATTTGTTTTCTTCCTGAATTATCTTCTTTGTAATATCCTCGAATTATCGGGTCGCGATAGCAATTTTTCTGACCCATCACTGCCACTTTGTGCCCGGAAAGATCTTGGGGGAGAATGTGTTGGGCGGAGACAGCAGTTATCAGATTTTTCCGTTGGGTGATCGATAAACTCTGTCTGATGATAGAAAGTCAAAGAGACTTTCAAAGAGGGGCACAAAATGCTCCAATAAAAGTCGCGGTTTCAACCTTTTAATCAGTTTTTTTCAGTCACTTCACATTTTTCGACGAGAAATTATCCGCCGTAATAAATGTTTTCATCGTGTAATACTTATGGATTAGAAGTGTGTTTTTTTTCTTGGCGGCAGACCGTGTAACCTTCTTTTTTAATAAAATGAAACGTAATGAACTAAAATTTTGCAGAAAGTTGGGAGAGATTAATTGCCGAATGGAAATTTTTTCGGCAATTGACGAACCGAAGCACATTTCCCAATCGGCACAATCTGTGTAAATGCTTGCTCATTTATCTCGGAGAGTTCTTTACGATGGGAGGAGTTCGGCAGAGTGGATCTCAAAGAGATGAGATAAAATTAATATTGCTGACCTATATATAAACGTAATAAACTCCGATGCGTCTCATTTTCATCTCGTTCTTTTATACGTATATTGTACGTAAAAATATCGTCATCAACATATTTATACATCGCCCTATCAATCCACGAATCTTTTTACTATAATGTTACAAAAAAGATTCTCTGTCTTAATGTTTTTATGTAAGTAATGTGTTAACAATACGCGGTTATGAACTTATAGCCGTTTACATAAAATAACTTGTTATCTCGTATATTAGACGACTATCTCATAATAAACATCTTTACGTTAATGTCGAAGCCTTAAAAAACAAAGGGATTTTAAAAACAAGATTCCTGATGTGCACTTTGGCAATAATTTTTTTTTATAAATAAAAACATACTTATATTGAATTAGTAAATTATTAACGTACTTATTAAATTATAGCAATTCTCTCTATATATATATCTATACACCGTAATCGCGTGACCAAAGTCAGTGACTCCGCCGCGGTCGCGCGCCGCGGTCACGCGACCGAGGTCAGTGACCCCGCCGCGGTCACGCGACCGAGGTCA